CAGCGGGTCAGGGCAAGGGGGCAGGCCGGGCCAGTGGGTGGGGGGTGCGGGTCGGGTCAGCGGGTCGGGTCAGCGGGTCGGGTCAGGTCAGCGGGTCAGGTCAGCGGGTCGGGTCGGGTCAGCGGGTCGGTCGTCCTTCGCTCAGGGTCTGAAAATTGGCCAGACTATAAAGGTGTGACCCGGTTCTAAGCGGATCAGTACCGGCCCGGCGGATGGACAGAGAACTGAAGCGCTCCCGTTCCAGAACCCCGAGGCTCCTCGGTCCCACCGGCGGTGCGTTCGGGCGTTGAAGGGATAAACGGGGCAGCTTCAGATCCGGCAGTAGTTCCTCCTGAAAGCGGGACGTTTTACCTCCAGCAGTTCGTCCTCGGGCCTCAGCACGCCATGTCGGTCCACGGGGCCCCCGGGGGCCACAGAGGAGATGTAGTGGTGGCCGTCGAAGGAGTCCAGCTCCACGCCCAGACGCAGGATGTGGATGGGCAGCAGCTGCAGAGAGACAGAGGGTCGGTCAGGAGGACCTGCGGCAGCCAGACCAGCAGCCAGAATGCGACGCTGCACCTTGGAGGATTTCTGCAGCTCTGCGTCGTCTTGGATCACGGGATCCAGGTTCACCACCTGACAGGAAACCGGAAACAGGAAGCACAGTCAAACATGCAGCAGAACCGGATCAGCTGCTGGGTTCTGGACTCACCAGGACGAGGTACTGAGGTCCCAGAGCCGCCTCCCACTTGGCTCGCAGTTCTGCATCAGACGCTGCAACACACAGAGCAGGCTGAGTCTGGGCTCTGGGTTTCACTGAGGAACACTGGAAATGCATGGTGACCTTTGAACTCTGCATCAGGGTCAGAGGCTTTGTTGGGACAAAGTCAGCTCAACGCGCTCCGCATGCGTCAGCTGAACGGAGCCGGGACGAGTCGTTCCTCGACTGGACCAAAACATCTGGAGCCAGAACCACAACCAGAACCAGAACCAGGTCTGGGCGGGTGGAGTGAAGAACAAGGCCGTCGGCCGTTTAGGATTCCTGTTGCTGCAGTGAAAGCGCCGCAGTAAGCAGCAAGCATTGGCCTGCGTTAGTTTAATGACCGAGACGAGAGTAGGACAGATGAGCGCTCGGCAGCAGAGCGACGGTCTGTCTGCAGACTGGGAAGCGGATTAGGAAGCGGACGGACTCTGAGATGGAACGCTGCGACGTTCTCCTCAGGTCCAGGTGTTAGTCAGAGCCAGCTGATTAAATTAGCATTGCTAACCCGACTCCAGCCGGTGAATTAATGCGCCATGTTGGCCTGAATCAGAGCAGCAATACATCCCAGAGGGACGGGCGTCTGCCGCACTAACGAGAAAGAGAAACTCAGAGTGGAGTTGGGGGGCTGAGGCTTGCAAACAGGAAGTTGTTCTGTTAAATTCCATTTATTAAGCTGTTCCGGCTAAAAATTAAAGGAATTATTAAGCCGGTTTGCCAGGGTGTCTGTTGCTCAGAGCATTTGACTGATTTATCCTTAGACAGGTTTATAGTTTATGCATTTAAAGCCGCAGAGCGGACCAATCACACAGCCGCACGTTTCCTCGCGCGCTGCTGCAGCCGCTTGATCTCTGAAGTTTCAGGGCGCATCGCGCTCCTTCCTCCTCTCACTGACCTGATGGATGTTTACATCAACCCCCTGTGAGGAATTATGATTCCTTGGAGAACTCCACATCAAGGTGAGAGTTTAAAACGAACCGTGTCAGCTCTGGTTGTGCAGCTCTATGTGAACCACAGAAATAACTTGTAGTCGCTTCCAGAGGAGAGTTGAGGATGATTTATCTTCGTGAACAATTAATTATGCGGCGTTTCCACCTCAACACGCTGCCCGTACCAAATGTCACTTCCTGCTTCATCATCATGATGGATCCAGATGCTGACGAGCGACCTTTGAACTCCAGGTTCCTCCTCTGAGACCCCCTGGTCGAGGCCCGCTCCACTGAAACAGACAGGACAGAAAACCATGAAGGACTTCCTGGTGCCTGGAATAACCTGGAACAACCTGGAACCTTTTTCATCAGTTGGTTCCAACCAGGAAACCAAAACCGCTAGAACCTCAGAGCCGTCCTGAAGGTCACCGTCTGTGTCCCATCAGGCCCATGGAGTCACACTGAGCTTCCAGAACTTTCTGCTGTCTGCTCTTTATCGGTTCCAAAGCTGGACCCGAACCTCCTGCCGCCGCTGACCTCTGACCTCTGACTAATGACCAGCGGAGGCGCTGAATGCAGAAGCGGCTCTGCTGGTCAGATAACGGCAGAACGCTGCAGCTTTGAACACAGCAGGAGATAACAGCTCTTCCTCGGCCCGTGGGCTGACCGGACCGGACCGGATGGTGCCCACCAGAACAAATGACCCGAAACCTAACAGATTAATCTCTGCAGACACTGCAGGAGGAAGAGGAGGAGAAAGAGCTGCACATTCTGCAGATTACAGCCAGGAACAGATTCATCAGACAAAGGTTCTGATAAGGTCCACCCGACCAGAACCAGAGTAGTCTAGCTCATAGTCACTACAAATGTAAATGATGATTTTTCTCAGGACAGGCGGCCCGTCAGAACCAGAACCAACCGCAGTGGTTCAGCTGTTAGTCCCATGACCCGTTGGAGGCGGTACTTCCAACATCAGAGCCAGTATCTCGCCGCCTGGACCCTCGACCTCTGACCTGTGGTCCTC